ATTCTCCAGGTAAGAATACTAGAGTGGGTAGGCATTCCCTTCTCCAGGGGATCTTCCCAACCCAGGGATCGAACACTTGTCGCCTGTGTCTCTGGCATTGGCAGGTGGGTTCTTTACCACCAGTCCCACCAGGGAAGCCCAATAACTCTTTGAGGAATGTATAATTATTAGTCATTTCCAGATGAGGCAGCTAGGCTTAGAGCTCCATTGATGTGCCCAAGATCATACAGGAGATTTGAGCCCTAGTCTATCTGACTCTAATTTTCATACTCTCCCCTCCAAACCAAACTACCAGGCTTGGGGGGAGAGGCGAGGGTAAGGTAAGGAAAATAAACTAATGGATAGAAGTGGATTCAAGTACCATATATGTTTTCAGCCATGAGCTGAAACTTCCATCTAGGAGTGAAAAAAACAATGTCAAGACGGTAATGAAAAAAATATGACATCATTCTCACTGCTGATGAAAACTAGCATTAGTAGTAGTTTGGAACATTTTATAAACCACACTTAATATTTGAATATCAAGTTCAACATTCAACAAAATGCTACTGGTTGGGCATTAAAATGTAGATATAAATCCAAGCTAATCCCCAAACACTGAACAGATAAAGCTGCATGCAAAACGTCAGGCTCAGTGCCCTGAACAAGTAGAAGTTTGTCACTGTCAGTGTTTATGTCAACAGCAACATCTCTTTTTTTAAAAGCCATATGATGGTTTCCAAGTTAGCATACACATTACTTTTCAAAACTCTACCAAATGAAATGCCCAAACTCTTCTGTAATTACATGATGGTTACTGCCTTGTGACTGCATACTGTGAATCCCAACTGTCTTCCCACAGGGAGCAGCAGACTCTCCAAAACACAAACGAATGTATCTTTTGGGTCCAATGTCTTTCCTTGGGCCCAGCTCCATTTTTCATCATCATATTACTGGGCACTGTCCCCCTTAATCATAGGTTTGGGAAGGTGGGGATGAGGTCAGCCTTCCCACTACTGCTAAGGCCACTATTCATGGCTCCACTGAACTGAAGAGAACCCACTCATGTGCACTGCCGCAGGTCACAATGCCGACCAGTTCCCTTCATCTCAGCAGAGCAGTGATCTCCATTAGCCCAGCGCAGGTTTTAATTAGAACACAAGGATTATCTTAGTTATCACACAATTGTGATATCTAAAGGAAAACAGTTTGGTGGGGTTTTGAGATCAGACAGGTAAAGGGTGTGACAAGTTCTCCCTTTCACTGATACAAAGTATCTCTAAAATATAAACTTTTCTTAATTCAGTTGAATACAAATAAAGTTGATGCTGAGATAACTGCACTCATCCTCTGAAGAACTTTTCAGGTCAGTTTGTTGGTTCTCAGTGCAGATCTGGTCCAGAACTTTAGCTGAGAGAAAAACACCACACTACTGGGAAATCTGAATATGATCATTGAACCAGGCTCTTAAGTACTCATACAGGAAAGAAATCTCATCAGATACTCCTCCCGCCATTGTTAAAGGTAAGCAGAAGAAGGAGAAGAGTGAATCTGCATAGAGTTACTAAAATAAGATGAATTCGAAGCTGGCAACCCAGTCTCTACACTCAACATGGTTGTGTTTTATAAAGTTCTGGCCATTTTTGACGCTGCCTATTTTTGACATCAGCATGTGTTGGCTCTGCAGAGTGGATACTAGTCAATTTGCCATCTCAGAGTGTTGAGTAGTGTGTGGGACTGGGACTGGAGTAAGTAATTGGTAGAAGCCCCTCAAAGCTGCAGCATCCTGAACTGAGTTACTGCCTCTCTGGAGGGTCATTACCCATCACCTTCCCAGTCAAATAATCTTCTAGTGCTAGCCATGAAGTCAGCAGCTCCAGGGTACAATGCAACGAGTTTGGAGATTTGCAAACCTTAGACCTGCCACTCACTTTATCTCCCCTGACAGGAGGCTCTGGTTAATGTCCCAGCGCTTTTTCCTTTTACTCACTGCTCCCTCTTTCTGGAACCCTCCTTCCTTCCCAGGTTTTTTGTGGATCCTATTTGACCTTCAAAACTGAATTCAAACTAAGTGTCAACTATCCTAAGAAAAAACAATCTTCCATGACACACAACTGCCCTAATCTGATTTAGAAGTCTTTTGTCACTCTCCCAATAGCTACAGAAGCCATTCAGATCACCTTACACTGCCTAGGATTAAAAAAAAAAACACAAAACCATATTTATCGGTGAGGAGCCACATCTTACTCAACCTTTTCCTGCTTGAATAGGGCATGGTGTCTGGTTCTCACAAAAGCAGGTGATTAGGAGCACATATTTACATGCTTGTACAACTTCTTTTGTACCTTGGTTTTCTCATCTGTAAAAAGGTATAATAATAAGACATGCCTGATGAGGTTATTGTGAAAATGAAACCAGAAAATGAATTGTAAAGTGCTCAGAAGAACTGCGAGCTCTTATTATTAAATATCTGTGAAATTAACAAGCCAATATAATCTTCACTAAGTTAGTTACTTTAGACACAATATCTTCTATGAAGTGGAGATAATCTCATTTTTCCATAGGATGGTAGCAAACGTCAAAGGAGATAACACAGCTGGTGACAGTACTTTGAAAGCTGTAAAGGACTATTTAAAAACTGGCATTTTATTATTTTTACTTAACAAATTATATAACATACTAAGCCAGAACTCAAAGAAGAGTCTTCAGTGGCTGGCTAATGCAGGGGTTGCCCAAGGCCTTACCCAAGTTGTGGGTTTCTTCCTTAACTTTCCAACATTGACCATAAAGGTACAGTCCCATAAACCACGAACAAGGGTAAGGGAAAAGAGATCCCTAAGGTCTACGCAGAACTGGAATGCTCTCTATCTAAGGAGAACACCAACATCCATAGAATCTGGAACATCCAAGGAACTGAGGATGTACAGTCACTGCTCAATGATTCTGATCATATCACACAATCTATGGAATTTAAGAGCCAGAAAAAAATTCTGAAATCACTTATTTTAATTCCCTCATTTTACTGATGAGGAAACTGATATCTGTGAAGCCCAAGCAACTGGCCCCAAATCAAAGTCAAGTTAGTGACAAATCAAGTCTCTTAATGTGTAGCTTATAGGTTTATATACATTTTGTTTATGTCATATTCCCTTTATCCTTTTGGAAGTGGTCTTTATAAACAAACTAGGGTTAAAATTCCCGTTTTAATCATTTATTAACTCTGTGAGTGAGTTACTAAACTGATCCAAATCTCAGTTTCTTTGTTTGTAAAATAAGGATCATAGTACCTCTTAAAAGTTTGCATGCCTGTGTGCTCACTCAGTCGTGTCTGACACCCTGTGATCCCAAAGACTGTAGCCCGCCAGCCTCCTCTGTTTGTGAAATTTTCCAGGCAAGAATACTAGAGTGGGTTGCCATTCTCACTCCAGGGGATCTTCCTAACCCAAGGATCAAACCTGCATCTCTTGCATCTCCTGCACTGGCAGGCGGATTCTTTACCACTGTGCCAAGTTTACTATATGATAAAAGGGGTACATTGGATAGCAAAACCTGTGCCTCATACTTCTGCACTCACTAATTTCCTAGTAACTATTGGGATGTTCAAAATTAAACAACGCATAAAGACAGGCCATATTGTAAAACATCTCTTTTGAAGAAAGCATCTGAGAACTGACACTTGCGAAATTTTCTTTTGGTACTGAAATGGTTAAAAAAAAATCCTCTGGTTTAAAACCTTGCTGCACCAATGTTCGCACTCTCCACATAACATGCCCTCCGTGGCGGCCGGCACGTATACTGGGGTGTATAGTGAGGCAGTGTATAGCACAATGCGGTACTATATCTCATGTTTGCTTTCTCACCTCTGCCCTTGCCCACCAGCTACCCTTGGGCTGCCAGTTCCAGCTACTGCTTTATCCTTCCTTCTCCCTTTTTGATCCACCAAGGCTTTAAGGATATCTTGTCTGTGGACAGCTCCCTTTATCAACACAAGACAGAAACAGTTCCCCAGTGACCAAGGCTCTTTCTTATCTTTCTCCGGAGACCAAAGGCCTCTTGCCCATGTATCTGGTGGCTTATCTCCTCTGGTCAGCGTCCACCTCCTCCTCCACAGGCTCCTTAGCCACTCACCTGGGCACCAAATTCTCACCCTCCGATACCTGCTTTTATACAAAGATGTGGGGACAGGGCCAAGTTCTAAAGTTGAGATGGGCAGCCACCCCCACTGATGCCCTGACCCTCCCCGCAGCAAGCACTGGGACCAGGCCCGGGTGGCTATTCTAAGAGCATCAAAACTTAGCTGTTTGCCTTCCTGAGGCTGCTCAGTTCCCAGGACGCAGTACCCCAGGGCACCCTGCGATGTTTGCGTCTGCGACGGGATTGGGCCCAGGCAGGAAGGCAGGATGCGGGGACTGGACAGCTTGAAGCGCTCAGAGGAGACAGCATCCACGGTGGTGGCGTGGTTAGAACGCAGCGGGTTCCACCTAGCCTTAATCTCTGGTTCCTGACCGCTTCTCCCCTTTCCCCTCACACCCGGGGAGAACCCGGAGCCACTTTTCCAGCCTCAGAGATAAGAGCCCGGCACCTGGAAGCCAGGGCGGCGAACCCCAGCCACTCCGGAGTCCCCCGTTGCCAGCCGCAGTGACGGACCACGTCGCGTCCCAAGCAGTCGGCGGCGGCGACGACGGGCACCTTTATTCCCTCACTCCCGGACGAGGAATGAGAGGTGGGGAAAAAAGGAATCTTCGCGAGTGCAAAGGCGGAGAAACTAGCAGTTTTGCGGCGTCTCCCCAGCACTATCTGGGAGAGGCACGAGGTCACCCCGATTCCTACTGTCCCGGGGGAGGTCCGGGCGGGCTGCTTCTCCCCAGTAGCACCCGTTGCGCACACAGACGCGCGCGTCCTTCCCGACCGCAACCGCTGATCCGGCCAGGACCCGGGCAGGCAGCGAGGGGTGTGCGCACCACGTCTCCCGCGCGTCGCGAGCGGTCCCCCGGCCCCCCAGCCCGGCGCGGCCGGCTCACCAGATGGCCATCCTGCTCTTGGGGTAGTCCAGGCGCTCCAGGCAGCCGAGGAAGTGAGGCAGCGTGTGCGCAGCGTTGCGCGCGAGGACGACCACCAGCACCGTCGGTCTCTGCAGGGGCGACTCGGGGAAAACCACCGCCTCCTCTTCGTCGTCCTCGGAGTCCGCCTCGGCGGCAAAGCGCGCCCGGCAGCCGCCGCGCAGCAGAGTCCAGGAGAGGAGCAGCAGCGCCCAGGCCAGGGGGGCGGCAGGGCGCGCGGCCATGTTCCGGGCCGAGGCGGGCGGCGGGACGACCCGGCGCGGATGCCCGAGGCCGGCGGCGAGAGGCGGAGGGGAGGCGGCTGGCGCGCGCGCACTGGCACGGCCTCGGCCGCCGGGACCCTCCCTCTGCAGCCGCTGCCGCACCGCCGAGGCCCCGCCGCGGGCGCTTCGGAGTACCTGCGGCCGCCGGCGCTCGCCTGGACTCCGGCTCTCAGACAGTCGTGTCGGTGCGGCTGTTTGTCCAGAGTCCGGCGGAAAGTTCCTCTAGTTCAAGTTCAGCTTGTACTGAGGTCTGTGGCTTTCCCCAGGGCTGTGAGGTGTGGCCGTGTCTGCCAATGGGCGTGTGAATGTGTGTGTGTGTGTGCGCGCGCGCGCGAGCGAGCGTGTGTACATAACGGTACGACTCCAAGAAAATTTATTCTGCTTTTGCAAACCGCAGTCTAAAGTCCTTCACAGTGATGCAATGTACCCAGTTTTTCATAATGCACCTATTGACTAAATGGGTAGAGTTCTAAAATGGAAAGTCACCCAGTGATTCATTACTATGATAAACAGGTTTTGTGTTTTTTTTTTTAACTTCCACGAAGGCAGAATATTTATATTTCCTCATCCTCAAGTGCTCTTTAAATTCATTTTTGACTGAGAAGTCTCCCCAATAAGATCTAGTTGGAAGACCTGGAGAATTTTAGAGCCAGACCGAACCCTTCAAATTAAAGGAAAGCTCTTCATGGGTCTGTCCTCTACCTGACAACTCAGGGTCCTGAACTTCTGAAAGGGTGTCAGGTTAAGGACCAGATTCACTTAAGATGGTTTTTTTTTTTCCTTAATGACCCAAGCTGATAAACTGTGACAGACAGGGAAAATCTGTACATGCTGGAAGAGAAGGGAGGATAAGGAAAAAGAAGGAAGGGTAGAAGAAGAATGCAATTAGCAGGTAAAGTGAAAATGCTAGGAAATATACCATCAAAGGATATTTAATTTTGAACACAATGGAGGAAAGCTAGTAAAGAAGTTCCTTACTGGATATCTTTTTGTGTGGAATTCTTTTTTGGAAGTTCTTTGTGTGTGGAAGTTGGAGCTAAATTTTTGTCTCACGTATGTCACTTATTCTTTGTGTGACCTTGGAGACTTGACCTCTCTGGACATCAATTTCTTCCTATATAAACGCCTTTTAAGTTCTTGCCTTATTTTCTCATTCGACAACCGTTTATGAAATGACTAAATGTCAATCATTCGGGTGTTGAGTGTTTGAATCTTTCTTCTCCAGAGAAAGGGGCAGAAGTGTGAATCCTTCTTCTCCAGAAAAAGGGGCAGAAGGTGTCCTGCCCTTTTTATCTGGCTGGGTCAGAGTTGGAGGAGGGAGTCTTGGCTAAATCAACAGGGCTAGTTTTTCCTGCACCAAAATACCTTTTGGGGGGCTTCCCAGGTGGCTCAGTAGTTAAGAATCCACCTGCCAATGCTTGCCAATTGCAGGAGGCATGGGTTCAATCCTGGGTCAAGAAGATCTCCTGGAGAAGGAAATGGCAACCCACTCCAGTATTCTTCCCTGGGAAATCCCATGGACAAAAGAGCTTGGTGGGCTATAATCCATGGGGTTGCAAAGAGTAGGACATGACTGAACACACACACACATTGTTTTTTTCACTACTTGGATATTTTTATTCCCTTGTCTTAGCCAGTCTAAAATCCTACAACATAAACGTTCATTCAAATTGACAAGTATGCCAATTTTAACACTAAAACACTTGAGACAAGAATATTAGGCAATAGCTTTGGTATTCCTACATTTGTGTGAATTAAATCAGAGTTCCTAATCTCAATACCTAAACTGAGGTACACTATAGGAAGCTTTGATGAAGGGAACAGAATGGGATCCTTATGTGGAGCATGGCACCCTTTATGACAAAGCAAGTTCTGTGGATTTCTGATATGTGGGCTTGAGGACTCCAAGTCCAAGTGGGAAAAGGATATGGAGGGTAGCGTGAGAAAAAGAGCAGTGGCTGAAATGGGAAGGGATAAAATTAAACTGTGCCACTTTCAAAGTTTTTTCTAAGCTCTGGCCCGTATCCAAAAACTACATAATAGTTACCATAGAAAAATGATTTTCAATTCCAAACACATTTATACAAATTTAAAATACATTCTTTTATCTCATTTAAAAAGACTAGATATGTTTCTTAAATTGTCTTCACTTATTTGTTCCAACATTTTCTCAGTGCCCACTGTCCCAAGGCACGGGTGCTGGGAATCCATGGATAAGTAAGATATATTGAATGAATGAATAAATACCATAAACTGGTAGGAAAAGAGGATAAGGAAGGGAGTGAGGATGGTTAGGAAATGCCTCATTAAAGAAATGCCTTTGAACCGAGTATCGAAAAATGAGGGGCATATTTTAGGAAAATGATAGAGGGTTGAGAGAGGTTGGAATTTCAGGCTGATGGAATTATAAAAGCCAAATAATGAGAGAGAGCACAGAGCATGAGGAATGGCAATGAGAAGAGCATGATTGGCGGGCAGTGTAGGAAGTGGGAAGAGAGAAGTCTGGACTACCACATGACTTTTATATAATTACATATATAAGCTTTTACAGAAAAACTAAAAACTTGGTTAAAATGGAAAAAATGAGCTAAATATCTGATGTATTGTTGGCTTACACAGTGCTTTCAAATGTCACCTAGAATATATGAATATATGATATTGAATGGTCACAACCATATGGCAGAGTTGCAGACTCCAGGTGATTAAAGTCTCAAAAACAAAATTTTAGTTTAACTATACAGATTTTCAAACTCAGTAATTTTGAATTTATATGGTTAAATATTTTAAACAGATAAAAACTATGCTATTTTATAAACATATAAAAACATACTAAGGACATATAAAAGCATATAGTTCTTCCCAGGTGGTGCTAGTGGTAAAGAACCCACCTGCCTATGCAGGAGACATAAGAGACGTGGGTTTGACCCCTGTGTCGGGAAGATCCTCTGGAGGAGGAAATGGTACCCCACTCCAGTATCCTTGCCTGGAGAACTCCATGGGCAGAGGAGCCTGGTGGACTAAAGTCTGTGGGGTCGCAAAGAGCTGGACATGACTGAGTGACTAACACACACACACACACACACACACACACACACACACACAACTTAATATCAAAGAAAAAAACCCAACCTGGTTAAAAACTGGGCAGAAGACCTGAATAGACATTTTTCAAAAAAAGACACACAAATGGCCAATAGGCACATGAAAATGTGCTCAACATTGCTGGTTATCAGAGAAGTGCAAATTAAAATCACAAAGAGATCATCATGAGATGGCTGGATGGCATCACCGACTCGACCGACATGAGTTTGAGTAAACTCTGGGAATTGGTGATGGACAGGGAGGCCTGGTGTGCTGCGATTCATGGGGTTGCAAAGAGTCGGACACGACTGAGCGACTGAACTGAACTGACCATCTCATACCTGTCAGCATGGCTATCAGAAAGTCTGCAAATTACAAATATTGGTGAGGATGTGGAGAAACGGGAACCCTAGTACATTTTTTGTGGAAATGTAAATTGGTGTAGCCTTTGTGGAAAACAGTATGGAGGTTTCTCAAAAAACTAAGAACTACCATATGATGAAGCAATCTGACTCCAGGGTACATATCTGAAGAAAATGAAAACACTAATTCAAAAACATACATTTACTCCAATGTTCACAGCACCATTATTTACAATAGCCAAGATATGAAAGCAACATAAGCATGCATCCACAGATGAATGGATAAAGGAGATGTGGTATGTATATATATAATGGAATATTACTCAGCCATATAGAAGATAATAGTTTGCCATTTGCAACAACATGGATGGACCTGGAGAGTATTATGCTTAGTGAAATAAACCAGACAGAGAAAGACAAATATTGTACGTGATCACTTGTATGTGGAATATAAATGAACATAACAAAATGGAACAGACTCACAGATAAAGAAAACTAACTATAGATTACCAGTGGGGAGAGGGAAGGGGGGAGGGCAAGATAGGGATATGAGATTAAGAGGTTCAAACTACTACGTATGAAATAAATAAGATATAAGTATATACTGTACAGAACAAGGAAATATATCCATTATTTTATAATAATTTTAAATGTAGCATAATGTATAAAAATATTGAATCACTATATTGTACATCTGAAACTAATATAAAATTGTAAATCAGCTATAATTTTAAGAGGGACAAAAAGAAGAAATTAGACTTTATGGTGCAATTAGTGATCCAGTTTCCCTTTATACCTACATGTGTATATGTGTACATACATACACATATACACATATTCACTGCCTCAACTCTGCATTACATCTGTAATGTCATCTCTGTCCATATGTGCATGACTTGCTACTTGATTCCGTTGGTTTATTTATCTACCCTTTTAGAAATATCACATACTCTTAATTATAGACCTTTATAATAAGTTCTCTCAGTTTGTTCATCAGAAGGGTCTTAGTTATTTTTGGCCCTTTGGGCTGCCGTCTATGGGGTCGCACAGAGTCAGACATGACTGAAGTGACTTAGCAGCAGCAGCAGCAGCATGCTCACATTTCAGAATCAGTTTATCAAGCATTAGGCAAACCCCTATTGAGACTGTGATTGAAATAGCTAGAACTTACAGATAAGTATTGTAAAGTTGGCAATTTCCTCCAAACTGATCTATAAATGCTATTAAAGATCATTAGAGAAGACCTAAATTAATGGACAGACATACTTCTCTAATGAGCTTCAGTAACATTTATTATGTTCTCCATAAAGGGTTTGCTTATCTTTATTCTAGGTACCTTATTTTTGTTGTTGTTTTGTTCCAAATGTAACTGGTATTTTTAAAAATTAAATATACTATAGCCTGATTCTTAAAATGGGGAATTTAGATTGCATTTTTAAATTTATGAGAAATGAAGAGAAGATATTTTGATTATTCTAAATTCTTTTCTATATGTATGAGGTTCTTCAAACAAACTCATGCATATGAATAGTAAAATATCATAGCATCTTAAATATTTTACTAAAAGTATAAACATCTTACCTATTCTCTGGGAAACAGAGAATGGGAAATTACATGCTTTGTGTACAAAAAAAGGAACAACATACATATGAACATTCTTACAACCAATGAATTAAAGCTGATCCAGAATGCTAGCCTGCATTTTTCAGCTTGAGATCACTGTTGTATATAACATTGTATAAAAACGTTTTCTTTTTAACACATTAAACATTCACATCACAATCAAAAGTTCGGTTTTCCTCTGGAGACTAACTGAATTAATGTCTTGGCCTGGACTTTATAGACTTTTTTTGCAGGAATTAAATGGTCTGGCTCAGATATCAAGACGGGAAATCAGTAGAGCAAGTGCCAGATTACACAGAATTTGATATCACCCAGTATACTCAGGAAGAATTTTATTTGTTGTTACTTATCTAAGCTTTTTTCCTAAGCACTTTGGTTCTCTGATATATTAAACCATGGAACCATTTATAAAAGGAGAAATTCTTCAGTCTATGAGAAGTTGAAACTCTAACCTGCTCTTGGGTGTATTTTACTCTGGATTACCACAGTAGTAGACATTGTTCAGTTCAGTTCAGTTCAGTCGCTCAGTTGTGTCTGACTCTTTGCGACCCCATGGACTGCAGCAAGCCAGGCTTCCCTGTCCATCACCAACTCCTGAAGCCTACTCAAACTCATGTCCATTGCGTCGGTGATGCCATCCATTTCATTCTGTTGTCCCCTTCTCCTACCAGGCTATTTAAGTATTCCCAGATCTTTTTCTTTCTTTCTTAGCTACTCTAAATTACCAAGATTTATTTATAAATAAGTTTCCATTGCTTAGTATGGAAGCCAAGGGACAATCTATTCTCATTCTTCAACTCTCTGTAATAGACAGTGACATTAAAAGTCAGAAACATTTACTATTCAGCTTAAATAGATCACATTTTTTCTAACAGAACTTCATTTATTTGCCAAAGGACAGCATTAACCTGTTGCTTTTTTTTTTTTTCCAGTTGATATATCTTTCTGTATACTTTTGGGATTCTCTAACCTCTCTGCCCCATACATTTGTTTTTTTCTTCCCCTTAAGTTTAAAATCTTCCCCTGAAGATGTCTGAACCTGTTCACATAATACCTAGCTCCATTGGATCTCCTTATTTATAAAATTTCCCCTTTCCTCATATGAGCAACAGAATGCTCCTAAATGCTTCTAAATACCATCACCTGAACTGATTGGGATCTTTAGAGGAGAGAGAGAAAAATCTACTTACATCTAATTACTTGAATTACTGTCAAGGAACCTACTAATTTCAGTTATTTGCTTCTTTAGGGCTTAGCAACTGTTTGAAGAGGTAAAGGTTAATAAGTTCATTCAAATGTAATACATTCTAGAGCAATTTATGAATCTTCATGTGTGGTTTTATATCACAGGATACACTTCTCTCTATATATAATACATTTTTTAATGCATTCAAGCTTTTTATCTGGCTTTCAACAGTTTGACTTCAGCATGGACTTCACTGTGTCTATTTTACCTGGTATTCATTTAGTATTTTGTACTTGTAAATTTCTTTCATCAAACTTGGGGAATTATTAACTTCTTTATTTTTTTCTATTCCATTCTCTTTCTTTTCTCCTTCTAGTATTTCATTTACATATATGTTGGATTGTCTGATATCACGTAGCAGTTCTCTGAACTCTATTTTTTTTTTTTAAATCATCTTCTCTTTGTTGTTCACTTTGGATGATGTCTTGGATGATTGCTGTACCTTCAATTCATTTAATTTTTCCTCTGTAATTTCCATTTGGCTGTTAAATTCACCCAGTGAATTTTGTATTTCTGAAATTTTTTTTAGTTTCAGAATTTCCATTTGATCCCTTTTTTCATTTTCTCTAATGAGGTTTATTTGTTTGTTTGTCTCCTGAGAGTTTTATTCACTGAAAACATGTTGTGTTTTACTTCACTGAGGATAGTTAAAATAATTACTTTAAAGTTTTCATCTGTCAGTCTCAACATCTGATTCATCTCAGGGTCAGATTCCAGAAAATGTGATACACTTTCTTGATTTTCATATGTCACTAGTTTTGAATTGTATCTTGGACTTTATGAATGGTGAATTGTGGATGTTCTGGATTGCATTATTTTGCTATGATGAGTATTATTTTTTTTGCATTAGCAGGTGATTCTCTTGACTAAATATAAACCATAAACTCTCTTTCTTGGGGGACAACTCTAGTCTCAGTTCAGATCTTTTGTTTTTAACTGAACTGCTGGGATTTTGTTCCAGGTGGTTCAGGATCTGTCAGAGATGAAAGCAGTGTTAGGGGGTCCTTTCTCTCTGGCTCCTACCCTTTGGGGATTTCTTGATCTCTTCAGCTTTCAAAGTTTCCTGGCTTCACTTTTTTGGTTCTCCAGATAAGAAAAACTGAGAGTTTCCCCACATGTGCCCCTGCTGCTGAAGAAGCTGCCTCGTGGACTGGACTTTGTTGTTGTTGTTCGGTCACGAAGGCCTGTTGGACCCTTTGCGATGCCATGGACTGCAGCACACCAAGCTTCCCTGTCCTCCACTATTTCCCAGAGTTTGCTTAAACTAGTGTCCATTGTGTTGGTGATGCTATCTAACCATCTCATCCTCTGCCACCCTCTTCTCCTTTTGCCTTCAATCTTTCCCAGCACCAGGGGCTTTTCCAATGAGTCGCTCACCCACACTTAGCTCAAGCTAAACTCTAAGGAAAGGGAAACCTTCCTTGTTGTGCTTCATCACTCTCCAAGCAAGCTTGCTCTCCTGACTAGGCTCAGGAGGCTCTGTTCGCATTCCAAGGTATTCTGGAATACCTATTTTTGTATTACGTCCTTTTAGGTATTTGACCTAATATCTGTTTTCTATTTTTGTATTATGTCCGATTTTTACAGATGTTTTCTTCTGGGGGCACAGTCTCAGTCTGTCATATTTGGAAGCAGAAGTTCTATCCCTGTCTGGTACTTTGACTCTTGAGAGAGTCATTTCTTGCCTTGGTTAACGCAATACCTCCTAGGCAGTCCTGCTTCCACCCTTGACCCCTAAGATCTAGTCTCAGCACTTCAGGCAGAGGGACACAGGAAAAATAACAGGAACTTCTAGCGTCCCCGTTTCACTCACAGTAAATCCATAAAAGCTTAAAATGTCCTGCGCTGCCTGTCTGAAACTCCTCAGCCTTCCTGACTTCCACGTCACACGCTTATGCTGGTTTGCATCCTCCTTTTCTGACCACTCGTGTTTATGTTCAACAACTCGTGTTTACTCTTGCTCCTCCAATCCTAAAAGGTCGGTTCACCCTAAATATATGGTTCTTGAAACTCCGGCCTCTCTTCTTTCCGCCTTCTTCTCTGGAGATCTCATCCACTTCCACTCTTTGAGCTGACACGTCAGGGCAAAGAGGCCTTGAGGATCCCCCTTTTTCTCAACAGAGCTGTAAACGGCGCTGATGTAAGGAGAATTAAGAGCTCCTGGACCTTCTCCACGCTAGCACCTACCCAGATCCGAAAAAGCTCACACGGAGACTGGAGTGTGTTCGTTCAGGTTCAAGTTGTGTTGGTCTGAAGGTGGGGCTGATCCTCCCAGCGCCTGAGTTCTCCCGCGCCGGCGCAAACACACGACGCGGAGGCGGAACCGAGACGCGTGAGTCTCTGCTTCTGGCAGGGCGCGGAGAGCATGCGCGGTGCACCACGGGCGCGCCGCACGGCAGGGCATGGAGGAGCGCGGCGAGTCCCAGCCGACCGCGGGCTGCGGCGATGTGCGCCGGGAAGACGATCGCGGCGGCGGCAGCGCCCACCCGTGGGCCCCCGAGGACGCCTGGATGGGCACGCACCCTAAGGTCAGCAGGCGCGAGAGGAGCAGGGCGCCCTGTCCAGGCCTGCACCCAAGGCGGGACCCCCGGGCCGTGCTCCCCCTTGGGCCCTGACTCTCCACCCGATGGGATCGCAGAGTTTCCGCGCGAACGTCACCGTAGGGGATTCTTTTTGCTCACTGATCGCTGCTGGCAACATTGTTTTTGTTTGTTTCAATGAGTTAAACTATTGTTCTGACACCGCCCCCTTCCGCCTCGCCTCCCTCCGACCATTCTTAACTGGAGGGAACATCGTTAGCTACATTGCCTCCGGAGCCAGATAACAGCCACACCATTCATCTGAGTTTTGCTGCCTAGGGTCGTTCTTGGGGATGGTCTCATTTAATCCGCATAGTAACCAAGCGGAACCGTTTGTGAGCCTTTAATAAACTGTAGTAGTCTACCGTGGTCAAGGTTTTAGGCCCAGTCCTCCTTTGTCTCTGTTGGCAAATTGCTGCCCTGTACCGCCTATGGCCCAAGCAATGAATGGATATGAGTTTTGCAAGAATCTCAGGGCCTACATACTTTGGTCTAGTAGCTTGAATAGAATTGCAGTCTTCTGCTGGAGAGCAGTATTTCATAGATAATGACCTAAAAAACATCCCAGAAAAGGAGAAATTTGAAGATCTTTTCATCTTCTCTTGCTTGATTTTATCCTTCTGCTCTGATCCCCTTACACCCTCTCAGGGTGAGAAAACAAACGTTAGCATGGAGATATTAATTCAGTGCCATCAAAGAACCAAAATATGGAGAGGGAACATGGTGGTCAGGAGCATGAGTTCAGACTGCCTGAGTTTGAATCCTAGTTCTGTCATCAGCTTTGTGATTTTTTTTTTTTTTTGATGTGGTGGAGGGGGGGGGGGTGCAAAGAAAAAAGTTTTATCTCATTGTTCCTCAGTTTTCTCTTCTGTAAAATGGAAATGAGAATAGTATTAACGTTATCGGGTTGTTAGAGGATTAAGACAGTTAATATTAGTAAAACACTTAAAATACAGTAGCCACTACCTAAATATTTAAAGTAAAACACCAGTAATAAGTTTTAAAAGCTACTTCTAGATTTGATGTTACTGTTTAATTTTCATACTTGCAGGGTTTTTTTTTTTTTTCTTTAAAGTCAAACACTTCATAGGCTCGAACAATCAAATATTTTCTTTTGGTTTTTCTTCTTGAAGGATCTAATTGATCTTAAAAAAAAAAAGAAAAGGTATTAGTTGTTTGATTTTCAGTTCTGCATTTGCATTATTCAGTTTGAAAATTACTTAGGTCAATCCAATAACATAGGATCAGATTTATCATCCTCAAACACCACTTTGGTTATGTAATTCTCATGTTTAGAGAATTTCCTGAAGGGTAAAATTCATACTTTTACGTTGGCCATCAAGACCTCGCTACCTGGTCCCCAGTTGCCTTTTCAGTGTCATTTCCAAACTCATTTGAGGTTGAGGAGGGTCATTAATAGCACGCCTCTTTTCCTGCACCTGTACACACTTGGGTGGATGCTGAGATGCCTCACCTCTGCATTGACCCTGCTCCCCACCTGCCTAGTCATTGACAGAGCTGGAATACCTTAGGCTTCTCGTGCAGGGGCAGGCCCTGAATAATGCTCCCTCTGTGCTGACCAACAAGTCTGAAAGCCGCAGCAGCTCGCTTGATCCTTCCTTTGAAACTCAACAGTTAATGAACTCCCTGCACTTGAGTGAGCAGGGGTGGGGAGAGAGGCCAGGAGTGCTCTTCTAGCACACCTTCTCCACTGGCAAATGAGACCAGGGAAACAGAGGCTCCCACTAACCTGCCCCGACAAAAGTCCTATTAAGATGTCTCTACTCCCGGCAGATAGGCTTCTTTCTAGGCCTTTGAATCCATGGTGCTTATTTCCACTTTCGTGTGATTACTCACACTGTCACTCTTTCTCTGTTTATTCAATTCATACATGCCCTTCAGGACCCAGTTTGCATCCCACTTCTGCCAGGAAACAGTCACTAGCCAAGCCACAGCTTGCAGCTCCTTTGACCTGTTCTGTCATGGTTTTTTTTTCCCATTCACTTGGTTTTTAGTCACTTACTGTAACGTATTATTATTTATCTGCAATTGCAAGTGTGTATGTGTTTACCCTAGCACAAGAAACTCCTACTATACCTTTAGGAGAGTCTTATACATTATCTGTTGACTAGTTGTTAATTGAAAGAAAATGCTAAGAGATTCTTCCTTCTCTTTTTGACAATTACATTTTGATTTTCAGTATTTAGAAATGATGGAATTAGATATAGGAGATGCCACCCAAGTTTATATAGCGTTCTTGGTTTACCTGGACCTCATGGAGAGTAAGTAACTTGTTTATTATTGTTTTGTTATTGGGGTTATTGGTGGGGGAATGAGGAGTTGTGTCGGGATATAGTGTTTATGCATTTGCTGTTAATTTTGTCAGTGTTGTGATTTCTTTATTCATTAGCACTGGGAATTACGAGTAACAGAAAATACTAGAAAGATAAAGGGACATAGCATTATAAGTGATGTTTGCTAAGCTGAGTATTAGGTAGATTTTAGACCTTTTATCTTTTATTTTTGATAAATATTGTTGTCCATTCGATGATGCACTTTCAGGTAAAAGCTGGCATGAAGTAAACTGTGTGGGATTACCCGATCTCCAGCTCATCTGCCTTCTTGGTACTGAAATAGAAGGAGAAGGGTTACAGACTGTGGTACCTACGCCCATCAGTGCTTCCCTCAGCCATAACAGGTGGGCAGCTGATTTTGATCTTTGTTTAGCAGGTTAGTTCCTTTCCTGCATAAAGCACTAGGAATCCTAGGAATCCTTAAATTAGAGGTAGTAATATATTTTAAAGGCTTCCTGGTAGGTCAGGGGTTAAGTATCTGCCTGCAACACAGGAGACACGGGTTCCATCCCTGGGTCAGGAAGATACTCTGGAGAAAGAAATGGCAACCCAATCCATTATTCTTGCCTGGAAAATCCCATGGATGAGAATCCTGGTAGGCTACAGTCCATGGGGTCGCAAAGAGTCAGACACGACTTAGCAACTAAACAACAGCAACAATATATTTTAAAAGGGATTTGGGGTATAGGAATCATGGCTTTATTCTTGGTTATTTGAGAACTAAGTTAAATATGAGTGTTGAATAAGTGTTTATTTACTGTAAAATGTTACTGTATTTTTCATGCTCATTGGGAGTGGTTTCATTTTAGATATTTTTAACTTTATAAAAAGGCATGTAAAAAAAAAAAGGCATGTAATATTTTGAGGCTTGCTTTATATTGTTAAGGTTATATTATGGTGTCTTTTGGCCAGGAGGGTGGGCTGCTGTATAGCATTCCATTGTGTGATTATACCATAGTTTTCACATCTCTCCTGATGATGGAGTGTTGCTCATGTTCGACTTTAGGGGATAGTTTCAAACTATTTTCCAAAGTGGTTGCCTCAGTTTACTTTCCCCTGCACAGTAAATAACATCTTTGGAAGCTATATGGTCTCTGACATTTAGTATTCTCTGACTCTTAAATTTTTGCCAGTTGAATGGCTTGTGTAACTATGGTCTTAATGTGCGGGTCACTGATACTGAACATTTATTTATATTTTTATTATTTCCTCGCTTGAAAAATGCATTTTTACATCCTTTACCTGTTGGATTATTTGCAGTTTCCTCACTGACCCCTAGGACTTCTTTATATATTCTTGATATTAATCCTTTTGGTTGTGTTTCCCAGATTTAAAAATCTGTCTTTCAGGTATCTTTTGATGAATAACAGCTTTAATTGGAATATAATCATACTTACTAATTTTAATGATTAATATCTTTATATCTAATATAAGAGCTATTTCCTAAGTAAAGATTTAAAAGAAAGTCACCGGTATCTTCACTAAGAGTTTCGAAGTTGCTTTTTTTAATGTTGTGAGGGGAAGGCTAGGGACCCTGTTTTCAGTGAGATGACCATTTTTCTCTGCCCCCAATTACTGAATATTCCCTCCTTTCCTTATTATCTCGCATACCGTCTTTGTGCAGCTATGCTTTAATTTGTTTCTGGCCTCTCTTTATATTCTATTTGTCAATATATTTATTCTTATGCCAGTATCAGGTTTTCCTAATTGCTTGCTTCATAAGAAGACCTGGTATCCTGTTAAAAAGTCTCCTTTTCTGTTCTTCTTGAGAAGCTGTGACCGGTGGCTTCTGAGATGGCTTCTTGCAGTCCAGCCTTCTGATGGTCACACTTGTGTAACTCCCTTCCCTGGAGTGTGGGCTGGAATCAGTGACTTGCTTTTTTGTTGGGGGGTAGTTGTTGTGCAGTGAGCAACTTGTGGGATCTTAGTTCCCCAACCAGCGATCAAACCCAGGTCCTCAGTGGTGGAAGCATAGAGTCCTAACCCTTGGAGCACCAGGGAATTCCCAGTGACTTACTGTTAATAAATAAAATTTGGCAAGAATGATGAGATGCTACTTCTAAGATCAGATTATAAAAGACATAAGGCTATTTGGGGTCTTTTGTGTTTCCATACAAATTTGAAAATTTTTTGTTCTAGTTCTGTGAAAAATTGTTGTTCAGTTGCTGAGTCTTATCCGATTCTTTGTGACCCCATGGACTACAGCTTGCCAGGCTCCCCTGTCCTTCACTGTCTCCCAGAGTTTGTTCAAACTCATTTCTATTGAGTTGGTGATGCTATCTAACCATCTCATCTTCTGACGCCCCCTTCTCCTTTTGCTTTCAATCTTGGCCAGCATCAGGGTCTTTTCCAATGTAAAACATACTCTTGGCAATTTGATAGAGATTGCACTAAATCTATAAATTGCCTTGGATCATGTGGTCATTTTAACAGTATTGATTTTTCCTATCCAAGGGCATGGTATATTTTTCTTTCTGTCTGTGTCATTTTCAGTTTCTTTCAGTGTCTTATAGTTCAACTGACAAGAGCATATGTATCTATATGTGTGTGTGTATATATATACACACATATATACATGTGTGCTCAGTCTCTTCAGTCATGTCTGACTCTTTGCAACCCAAAGACTGTAGCCCACCAGGCTCCTCTGTCCATGGGATTCTCCAGGCAAGAATACTGGAGTGGGTTGCTGTGCCCTCCTCCAGAGGATCCTCCTGACTCAGGGACTGAATGCAGCTTCTCCTGTGTCTCCTGCATTGCAGGTGGATTCTTTATCGCTGAGCCACCAGGAAAGCCTACACACACATGCACGCACACACACACGCACGCACGCGCGCGTGAGCGTGCACTGTGCACCTGAAACATTGTAAATCAATGATACTTTGAGGAAAAAAACCAGTGGCTTCTGTTGGGCACTCTCTCTCTGACTTGTTTGTTTTGAGGTAAGCCAGCTGCACTGAGAACTGTCCTAGAGAAAGGCTGAACGTAACTAGTAATGGAGCCAAGTTTCTGCGAGGTGGGAAGGGGAGGATTCAAGAAACTACTGGAAGAGAGTAATCTTGAGCTGGAAGAGGAGCACCTAAACCTCGGAGGCTGTGGGGCAGGTAGAAAGGACAGATAAAGACATAGGTATATTTTAGTGGGTGTATAAGTAAGGAAGAGGGCTTGGAGCTGTTGTTCAGCCACTAAGTCATGTCCGACTCTTTGTGACCCTATGAACTGCAACATGCCAGGCTCCTCTGTCCTTCAGTATCTCCCAGAGTTTGCTCAGATTCCTGTCCATTGAGTCAGTGATGCTATCTAACCATCTCATCCTTGGCTGCCCCCTTCTCCTTGGCCTTCAGTTTTTCCCAGCGTCAGGGTCTTTTCTAGTAAGTCAGCTCTTCGCATCAGGTGGCCAAAGTACTGGAGTTTCAGCTTCAGCATCAGTCCTTCCAATGAACACCCAGGACTTAACTCCTTCAGGATGGACTGGTTGGATCTCCTTGCAGTCCAAGGGACTCTCAAGAGTCTTCTGCAGCACCACAATTCAAAGGGGAAGAAGGCAGAGCACCTTAAGTTCCAATATGAAGCACTTTGATGAATACCTATTTTTTTCCTAATTCTCTATGAATGCATAAAGAATTAATGCATATTGATTTAGGAGAAAGACCATGGACTAAAGCCAAAAGACCTGGATTCTGGTCTTGGCACAGATACTTAACATTTTGTTTGATGATTGGAGACACACAATTCTTGAGTTTCACTTTGTCTTTTATTGAAGGTTACATGTTATCAGTAGACAATATGTGAGATCCCTTCCAAATCAAAGCTACCATAATTGGTTATTTTTTTCATTGTGTGTATTACATAAAATTGTATTAAGCTAATTTTTAGATTTCTATTAAATATTTCTGGTATGTGTGATCTGTTATTAGAATTATCTTCTGATATTTCAGGCTATTCATACTATTCTTTGAGAGGCTTCTTACTGTGAAATTTTCTATGTGTTTTGAGAATCAATACACAACAATTTAACTAGCTTTATTTCTAATAATGCTTCTGTCTCAGAGATGTAATAATTCACTCCTTCAGACTCTCCCTTTGTGTCTTTAAATTACTGTAACAATGTCATCCCAGCTAGTATTATTGTTATATTATTTATTTGGACAAGGAACTACCATTTAGAATTAACATACATTTAATCCTAAAAAGCAAGATGAATATAGTCTTTTTGAATCAAAATCATTTCATAAATCTAGAACTATAAATTGCCCGATTAATTTCTAGTTTTTTCTACTTATGACTATTGCTTTTCTAGCTTTTTAAGCTTGTTTTCTACTTTAAGTAGAATTAGTTGGAAGGGTAACTTAGTAATCCATTTTTGCGCTCTATAAATAAAGCAGAGGGCTTAGTCTGTGTGTCTTATTTTTATATAAATATTCATGATTATATTAGGCAGTGGAATGATAATATAGAAAATAGCACAGATGGAACCCAATACACATTAGATTTATTATGCTTTTTATGGCATAAAATGTTCTCAACTCAAAGAGTGCAAATACCCTTTTAACAAATAAAGATTTGTGTGTTTGATTTCATTCCTCAGTTTTTAACAGGAGTGATATTTTTAGGTAACAGGCAAACTTTAATCTGTTTTTACTCCCATGTGTACTTTCTGTATAAAATGTTACATGTATAACAGTAATGGTGCAATTTCAGACAGTTGTGGTTAATGTAGGAATTTTCCTTCATTAGTAACACAAAGAAAATTATTTACTTTGACTCTCTGGCCGCCTTGTATAGGGAGGAAGCTCATTAAGACAAGTCCTGAAAGTATTTGGGTAGGAATTTATGAAGGCAACTCACCTTAAAAAAATGCATTTTTTTGAATTTAAGAGAATAAACCGTTCTTTATTTGATAATAAACCACCTCTAAAAATAAATCACTGGGTTCACTTTAAAAATTATTATTGTCAGATAATATTGCTTGAACTTTTTAGTCTTTACCTAGCAAATACTTATTGACTGTTAGGTCAGGAGGTGGTCTGTGTTAGAGATACTGTGCTGATCAAGACAACCTGTTTCTTTTTTTTGAGGCATAATTGATATGCAACATTGTATTAGCTTCAGGTGTACACCATAATGATTTGGTATTTGTATATATTGCAAAAGAAATCACTGTATATAATCACAGAGTTTTTTTTTTCTTGTGATATGAGCCCTTAAGATCTACTTTCTTAGCCACTTTCAAATAATGTGATATGGTATTATTAGCTATAGTCACCATGCTCTACGCTACATACCCATGACTTATTTATTTTATAACCGAGAGTTTCTACTTTTTAACTCTTTTCACCTGTTTTGC